ATAATAATTCATAGGGTTCAACATAATAATAATAATAATAATAATAATATAGAGATTATATATATATATAGAGAGAGAGAGAGAGAAAGTAAGTCTGGGCTGAGATGACTGTATGCTTGAAAGAGGACACCCAGCCTCTGAAGAACAATAATAATAATAATAATAATAATAACAACAACAACAATTCAAAGACTTCAATGTTATAATAATAATATAATAGAGATTATATATAGATAGATAGAAAGTAAGTGGGCAGATATGACTGTATGCTTCAAAGAGGCCCCCCAGCCTCTGAATCATCATCATCATCATCATGGAGAATATATACATAGAGAGACACAGATTTTGCTTAACAACAACAACAACAATAATAATAATGGAGATTATATATAGAGAGAAAGTAAGTCTGGGCTGAGATGACTGTACGCTTCAAAGAGGCTTCCCAGCCTTTGCTGAACAACAACAACATGCTTCAATATGTATCTTTTATAGAAATGCATTTTAATCTGTGTATTTCTAGAATTTTTAATTAGTCTGCAAGCCGCCTTGAGGAGAGGCGGGTAAGAAATGCAATGAGTATTATGATGATGAGTATTAGGATGCGAAACAATGGCTTCAAACTACAAGAGAGGAGATTCCATCTGAACATGAGGAAGAACTTCCTGACTGTGAGAGCCGTTCAGCAGTGGAACTCTCTGCCCTGGAGTGTGGTGGAGGCTCCTTCTTTGGAAGCTTTTAAACAGAGGCTGGATGGCCATCTGTCAGGGGTGATTTGAATGCAATATTCCTGCTTCTTGGCAGAATGGGGTTGGACTGGAGGATGGCCCAGGAGGTCTCTTCCAACTCTAGGATTCTATGATTTACCCGCAAATCTTCTGGGCCGAATCGGGGTGGTTCATGTCCAAGGAGGACTGGAGGAAGGAGATGTAATGGATCCAGAGGTCCATGCTCAGCGGGATGGACTGCAGGCCGCGTTGGAAGACCTGCCGAGAAGAGAAGAGAGGAGATGATAAGGGGCTAGGAAGGGTCCGTCCGGCTGGCCATCTGTCGGGAGGGATTGGAGGGCCTCCCCTACCTCCTCCGTCTCCTTGATGAAGTCGAAGCGCCGCTCCATGTCGGCGTACTTCTTCCAATAGCCGTAGCAGTACGGGTAGCGCAGGAAGAAGCTGTCAAAGGCCTTCCGGGCCGCATAGATGTGGTTCTGCAAGAAGAAGAAGACCAAATCTGGGACCCACTTCCCCTTAGAAGCACTTCACTTTTATTACTTGATAATAGAATAATATTAATAAATTGTGCAACCCACTTCTCTTGACTTGCTTCCTTAGATTACTTAATAATAATAATAATTATAATAATAATAATAATATAATAATAAAAAGTTTTGTGACCCATTTCACCTTACTTATATGAATTAATAATGGAATAATAATAATAATGGAATACCAAATATATTCTAGTGTCCGACTCTGGGATTCCGGTGCTCATCTCCATTTCAAAGCCAAAGAGCCGGCGTTGTCCATAGGCGCCTCCAAGGTCATGTGACCAACATGACTACATGGAGCAGCATTACCATATATATGGTAATAAAAAAATTTCTGACCTTACTTGCTTCTCTTACTTATACTATTAAATAATAATATAATAAATTTTATCTACGGTCCACTTTTCCTTACTGACTTCTATTATTAGTACTTAATAACAGAATAATGATGAAATAAATTTTGTGACCCTAATAATATAATAAATTGTATCTACGGTCCACTTTCCCTTACTAACTTCTATTATTAGTACTTAATAACAGAATAATAATAGGATAAATGTTGTGACCCTAATAATATAATAAATTGTATCTACGGTCCACTTTCCCTTACTAACTTCTATTATTAGTACTTAATAACAGAATAATAATAGGATAAATGTTGTGACCCTAATAATATAATAAATTGTATCTACGGTCCACTTTCCCTTACTAACTTCTATTATTAGTACTTAATAACAGAATAATAATAGGATAAATGTTGTGACCCTAATAATATAATAAATTGTATCTACGGTCCACTTTCCCTTACTAACTTCTATTATTAGTACTTAATAACAGAATAATAATAGGATAAATGTTGTGACCCTAATAATATAATAAATTGTATCTACGGTCCACTTTCCCTTACTAACTTCTATTATTATTACTCAATAACAGAATAATAATAAATTTTGTGACCCATTTCTCCTTAGCTGCTTATTTATATTATTACTATTATTATTATTAGAACAATAATAAATGTTGTGACCCACTTCTCCTTAACTTCCTTATATAATTATTACTTGATAATATAATAACACAATATAATACAGCAGTTCTCAATCTGGGGGTCGCGACCCACAGGGGGTCGCCTGGCCATTTCGGAGGGGTCGCGAGGCCGCCTCCGTTGGCCCCGCTCCAAGGAGTTTCCAACAGACCTCACAACCTCCAGAGGATGCCTTCCACAGACGCAGGGGAAACATCAGGAGAGAATGCTTCTGGAACATGGCCAGACAGCCTGGAAAACCCACAACAACCCAGTGATTCCGGCTATGAAAGCCTTCGACAATACACCAGGGGAAAACCTTTATCTAAACTTTACCAAAACTAAACTAATCATAAAAACATGGGGAAAGTTTACTGAACTGCACAAACTGCCATAGAACATTTTGCTAGTATAGTTTCCTAATGAATCACTCATCACTGAGTCTCAACCAATTCAGACATAAAAACAACGCAGTTTCCAGAGTAGAATATCCAGACCGCACCACGGAGTGCAACATCCAGACCGCACCACGAAACAGGAAATGACGCTTTCAAACCAGGAACAGGGATAGTCTAGTAACGGCTGCCCACCCACCTCTTGCTCGACGTACTGGAGGAGGTCCGTCCAGGCGGTGAAGTCGAGGGGGTTGTCCTGGGCGGCGCGCCAGTAGCGCTCAAAGTCCAGCGGGTAGGTGATGGAGAGGTCCTCCTGCGGCGGGTTCTGCGCCAGGTGCGTCACCAGCTCCGGCACCGCCATCGACACCTCCTCCTTCATGGGCTCCGGCATCAGCAACGGGCAGGCCGTGGCAGTGGCCACAACCGCGGTGGCTTCCCCACTGGACCCATTGCAGCCTTCGTCCAATGGCGCCGGCACAGGCGCCACTTCCTCCTCCTCCTCCGGCGGCTTCGGAGCACCGTTGCTGCTGGGCAGCTTGGAAGGCAGCTCTTCCACGGCGACTGCATTATTTGGGGAGGAAATAAGAAAGCATCGCTAATTTATTTCCACATGGGAGAAGCCTCCCACAAGGATAGCAACACATCAATACATCCGGGCAACGTTCCCTGGGCAACGTCCTTGCAGACGGCCAATTCTCTCATACCAGAAGCGACTTGCAGTTTCTCAAGTTGCTCCTGACATGAAAAAAAATGCAGATTGGGAGAAGCCATAAATAATAATAATAATAATAATAATAATATCATGTTATGTAGCATTTTTAAAGATATTATTATTGTAAGGTAAAGGTAGTCCCCTGACATTAAGTCCAGTCATGTCTGACTCTGGGGTCATCTCCATTTCTAAGCCGAAGAGCCAGCGTTGTCCATAGACACCTCCAAGGTCATGTGGCCGGCATGACTGCATGGAGCGCCATTACCTTCCCGCCAGAGCGGTACCTATTGATCTACTCACATTTACATGTTTTCGAACTGCTAGGTTGGCAGAAGCTAGGGCTGACAGCGGAAGCTCACGCCGCTCCCCGGAATCGAACCTGCGATCTTTCGATCAACAAGCTCAGCAGCTCAGTGCTTTAACCCACTGCGCCACCAGGGGCTCCAATTATTATTGTAGATACTATTATTATTGAAATCCTTATTTCTATTATTATTATGCTGTGGAGACAGTAAATTCCTTACATATAGCTTAGATCAATATATGCGGCAATTACATATTCCATTAACCTTTCCAGTAACTCATTTCACACACAAACACACATATAAATACACACACATATAACATAACATATACATTATGTATAAATGCCTACATATATTAATATATTAATATATATAGCATTCATATTAATATATATTATATATACACACACATATACATACACATATACATAACATAATATATACCTTATGTATATATGCCTACATATATTAATATATATATATATATCCATATTAATATATATTATATATCTACACACACATATACATACACATATACATAACATAATATATACACTATGTATACATAATATTAATGTAATATATATATATATATATATTAGTATATTAATATTATATGTAAGAATATATAAATAATGTATATGTTATGTTATATATGTGAGTATATATATATATTATTAATATGAACAGTATATATATTAATATATTCTATACACACACACATATATACATACACACATATATAACATATTGTATACATTATGTATAAACGCCTACATATATTATATTAATATATATAATATTCATATTTATATTATATATACACACATATACATACACACATATAACATAACATATACATTATGAATATACACCTACATAGAATATTAATATATTAATATATATAATATTCATATTAATATATATTATATATCCACACACACATCTACATACACATATACCATAATATATACATTATGAATATATGCCTACACAGAATATTAATATATTAATATATATAATATTCATATTTATATATATTATATATACACACATATACATACACATATATAACATAATATATACGCCTACATAATATATACGCCTACATATAACATTAATATATATTAATATATATTATATATCCACATACATAAATACTAGGCCTGGGCCATCCATGGTTCTAAATGCTTCTAAAGTACTTACAAAACTAAAGTTCTGGTGGTGAAAATTTCAGAACTCTAACAAAACTCTCGAAATTTAATTATTATTTCATTATTGGTGATTTTAATGACAGAACCAATTAGGAACTGCCATTTATTATGAAATTTTGAGAGTTTTGTTAAGAGTTCTGAAATTTTCACCACCAGAACTTTAGTTTTGTAAGTACTTTAGAACCATGGATTGCCCAAGCCTAATAAATACACATATAAAATATAACATATAATGTATATACGCCTACATATAACATTAATATATGAGTCATATTAATATATTCAAATTATATGTATATAATAAGTAGACGTATATTCATAATGTATATGCTATGTTATATATATAGGTGTGAGTATGTCTATGTGATGGTGGCATGGCTAAACCAGCTCTCCTTCTGCCTGTATGCAAATATTGAGCCTGTATGCAAATGAGCCTAGGCGCGGGGGGTGATGGGAGATGCGGGCCTACATTCACTCGAGAACCCTTTCTATTCCCGGAAGGCCTTTCTGCTTCTCCAAGGCTCTCTCACCGGCCACGGCCTCCGGGCCTGCCGCCGCCTCCTCGCTCTCGCCCGCCGCCGCCGCCATGGCTCCGGAGCCCGGGCTGCCCGGCCCCTCGGAACCCTCCGCCGCCATCTTCAAGGCGCCTCACGCCGGATTGAACTGCGCATGCGCGACCGCGGGACCCGGATGTAGGCGGGGCTGCACCCTACTTCTTAGCCCCTCCCCTTCGGCGGGCCGCTCTTTCATTGGCTCCTCCGGGGGTTTGAGTCAGAGAGACAGCCAATGGGATGCTGCTTCCTGGCTCCACCCCCTTACCTTTTATTAAGATTCAGCCAATAGCTCCGCCCCTTTCAGTAAGTCAGTGCGGCGGCCTTCTAGCCCCGCCCCTTTTATTTGAATATGGGCGGAGCCAGCCAATGGGATTCTCCGCCTTTTTCCTTTTGAGGTAATCAGTGGGAAGCTACCTCTTAGCCTCGCCCCTTTCATTTGAATATGGGAGGAGCCAGCCAATGAGATTCTCCGCCTTTTTCCTTTTGAGGTAATCAGTGGGAAGCTACCTCTTAGCCTCGCCCCTTTCATTTGAATATGGGAGGAGCCAGCCAATGAGATTCTCCGCCTTTTTCCTTTTGAGGTAATCAGTGGGATGCTGCCTTTTAGCTCCGCCCTCTTATTTGAATATGGGCGGAGCCAATGGGAATCTCCGCCTTTTTTCCTTTTAGGTAATCAGTGGGAAGCTACCTCCTAGCCCCGCCCCTTTCATTTGAATATGGGAGGAGCCAGCCAATGAGATTCTCTGCCTTTTTCCTTTTGAGGTAATCAGTGGGAAGCTACCTCTTAGCCCCGCCCCTTTCATTTCAATATCGGAGGAGTCAGCCAATGGGATTCTCCGCCTTTTTCCTTTTGAGGTAATCAGGGGGGATGCTGCCTCTTAGCCCCGCCCCTTAATTTGAATATGGGCGGAGCCGGGCAATAGGATTCTCTCATTTGAATATGGGCGGAACAAGCCAATGAGATTCTCCGCCTGTTTCTTTTTGAGGTAATCAGTGGAATACTTCCCCTTAGCTCCGCCCCTCATTTGAATATGGGAGGAGCAAGCCAATGGAATTATCCGTCTTTTTCCTCCTAGCTCCGCCCCGCTCATTTGAATATGGGAGGAGCCGGTCTAATATAATTCTCCGCCTGTTTCCTTTTGAGGTAATCAGTGGGAGGCTGCCTCTTAGCTCCGCCCTCTCATTTGAATATGGGCGGAGCCAGCCCTTTTCCTTTTGAGGTTATCAGTGGGATACTGCCTCTTAGCTCCGTCCGTCATTTGAATATGGGAGGAGCCAGCGTATAGGATTCTCCGCCTTTTTCCTTTTGAGGTAATCAGTGGAATACTGCCTCTTAGCTCCGCCCCTTATTTGAATATGGGCGGAGCCGGGCAATAGGATTCTCTCATTTGAATATGGGAGGAGCAAGCGAATGGGATTCTCCGCCTTTTTCCTTTTGAGATAATCAGTGGAATACTGCCTCTTGGCTCCGCCCCTCATTTGAATATGGGCGGAGCCAATGGGAATCTCCGCCTTTTTCCTTTTAAGGTAATCAGTGGGAAGCTACCTCCTAGCCCCGCCTCTTACTTTGAATATGGGAGGAGTCAGCGAATAGGATTCTCCGCCTTTTTCCTTTTGAGGTAATCAGTGGAAGGCTACCTCCTAGCCCCGCCCTTAACTTTGAATATGGGAGGAGCAAGCGAATAGGATTCTCTCATTTGAATATGGGAGGAGCCGGGCAATGGGATTCTCCTCCTTTCTCTTAGGATGCTGCCTCTTAGCCCCGCCCCTTTCATTTGAATATGGGCGGGGCCAGCTAATAGGATTCTCCGCCTTTCTCTTAGGATGCTGTCTCTTAGCCCCGCCCCTCTTATTTGAATAGGGGAGGAGCAAGCGACTGGGCTTCTCCGCCTTTTTCCTTTTGAGGTAATGAGTGGGAGGCCGCCTCCTAGCCCCGCCCCCTTTCCCTCTGAGTAAGAGCCAGCCAATGGGATGCTTCCTTTCGGCCCCGCCCGCTTTCCTCTCCCTCTGCGGCCTCACCTGCCTGCGGGGGCGGCGCCAAGGGCGTGATTGGCGTGCGGGGCGGCCAATGAGGGCGCGGCGGAGGCTCACCTGCGTCCCTTCAGCCGCAGAGAAGAGCTCGGGCGCCTCAGAGGAGGAAGGAAGGAGGTCATGGCGGAAGAGGGGAAGAAGGCCGCGGCGGAGGGCGCGACAGCTAGGCGTGTTCAGGGCTATTCTTGCCGATCAAGCAGCACGCCCTGCCCGGTGAGATCCCAAGCAGGGAAGGGAATGAGAAGGAAAAAGAAAGCGATAAACGCCTGATCCGCGGGTAAGGAAGGGAGGCGAGTAGTCTTAAGATAGAGGGGAAAAACGTAAAGTTGATTGCGGGAGGAAACGGATAGCCGGGAATTCAACAGCCCCCCCAATACTACTAAAGATTTATAAATAAATTAAAATAAAATATATGAAAATAAATAAATAATAAATAGGTTTATGTAAAAATAAATTAAATTAAAATAAAATAGGTTTATATAAAAATAAATTAAAAAGAAATATGTTTATGTAAAAATAAAATAAAATAGGTTTATATAAAAATAAATAAATAATAAATAGATTTATGTAAAAATAAATAAAAATAGGTTTATATAAAAATAAAATAAAATAGGCTTATATAAAAATAAATAAATAATAAATATGTTTATATAAAAATAAAATAGGTTTATATGAAAATAAATAAAAAATAAATAGATTTATGTAAAAATAAAAAATAAATAGATTTATGTAAAAATAAATAAATAAGTAGGTTTATATAAAAATAAAATAAAATAGGTTTATAGAAAAATAAATAAATAATAAATATGTTTATATAAAAATAAAATAGGTTTATATGAAAATAAATAAAAAATAAATAGATTTATGTAAAAATAAAAAATAAATAGATTTATGTAAAAATAAATAAATAAGTAGGTTTATATAAAAATAAAATAAAATGGGTTTATAGAAAAATAAATAAATAATAAATATGTTTATATAAAAATAAAATAAAATAGGTTTATATGAAAATAAATAAATAATAAATAGGTTTATGTAAAAATAAATAAATAAGTAGGTTTATATAAAAATAAAATAAAATAGGTTTATAGAAAAATAAATAAATAATAAATATGTTTATATAAAAATAAAATAAAATGGGTTTATATAAAAAGAAATTAAAAATAAATACGTTTATGTAAAAATAAATAAATAATAAATACGTTTATATAAATATAAATTAAAACAAAATAAAAGGGAAGGAAAGGGAAATAAAATGAAAAATTAAAAAATAATCTAAAACCAATAAAATAAAATAAAAATAAGGGAAGGAGGAAAAATTAAATTAAATTAAAAAACAAGATGAAAAGAAATGAAATAAATGAATAGAAGAAGGGAAGGAGGAAAAAATAAATTAATATTAAATAAAATTAATAAAATTAATATTAAAAGAGATGAAATAAATTAAAAATAAAAGAAGGGAAGGAGGATATAATAAAATAAAAATTAATATAAAATTTAAATTGAATTCAAAATAAGGAAAAAAGGGAAGGAGAAGAAATAATATAAAAAGAAATGAAAAAATTAAAAATAAAAGAATGTAAGGAGGAAAAAATAAAATAAAAATCAATATTAAAAGGAATGAAATAAATTAAAAATAAGGAAAACAGAGAAGGAGAAGAAATATAAAAACTAATATAAAAAGAAATATAATAAAAATAAAAAAGGGAAGGAGGAAAAAATATATTAAATTAAAAATCAATATAAAAAAGAATTAAATAAATTAAAAATAAGGAAAAAAGGAAGAAGAAATAATATAATGAATATAAAAAGAAATGAAATAAAATTAAAATAAGGTAAAAAGGGAAGGAGAAGAAATAATAAAATAAATATTAATATAAAAATATAAATTGAATTAAAAATAAGGAAAAAGGGAAGAAGGAAAAATAAAATAAAAATTAATATAAAAAGAAATGAAAGAAAATTAAAAATAAAAGAAGGGAAGGAGGAAAAATTAAATTAAAAATCAATATAGAAAGGAATTAAATAAATTATAAATAAGGAAAAGGGGAAGGGAAGAAATAATATAAAAACGAATATAAAAAGAAGTGCAATAATATTAAAAATAAAAGAAGGGAAGGAGGAAAAAATAAAAAAGAAATAAAATAAATTAAAAATAAGAGAAGGAAAGAAATTATATATATGTGTGTGTGTGTGTGTGTGTAGATATACTGTTATAAATTAAAAATAAGAGGGAAAGTGCTGGGCTTGGTGAGTGAGGAAGGAAGGAAGAAAAGAAAGTAGAGGAGGAAGGAAGGAAAGGAGAAAAATTATATGTGTGTGTGTGTATATATATATATATGGAAAGGAAGTTGAAATGAAACAAAATATATAATTAATTAATAAAATTAAAAATTAAATTAAAAAATTAAGGGAAGGAAGGCGAAATGAAACAAAATATATAATAAAAAATTAAATTAAAAAATTAAGGTCATAATAATAATAATGATAATAATAATAATAATAATAATAATAATAATAATAGACACTCAGCTAACCCATGGGGATTAGTACCCATGGGAATTGGGAGACACAACAACAAGAATAACAACAGACTCTGAGCTCTTCCAATTGCACACAAACGTTATTTCACGCACGTTAATAATATGGTTCCAGCAACGCTCTTCGGGCGATGCTTATAATGCAATGCCTAGGAAGCATACGTTATCATTTT